CAGTGATGTGGTAACACCCCCCTCCCCCTACTTCCCGGTTTCTTTTTCCAGTGATGTGTAACACCCCCCATCCATACTTCAGAGTTTCTTCTTCCAGTGATGTGTAACACCCCCATCCATACTTCAGAGTTTCTTCTTCCAGTGATGTGTAACACCCCCCATCCTATTCAGATTTTTTTCTTCCCGTGATGTGTAAAACCCCCCCCCTATTTCGGGTTTTCTTCTTCCAGTGTGTGAAACACCCCCCACCCATATTCAGGTTTCTTCTTCCAGTGATGTGAAACCCCCCCCATCCTACTTCAGAGTTTCTTCTTCCGTGAGTGTAACACCCCCCCCATCTTCGGTTTTTTTTCAGTGTGTGTAACACCCCCATCCATATTTCGAGTTTCTTTTCCAGTGATGGTTAACCCCCCCCATCATACTTCGAGTTTCTTCTTCCAGTGATTTTAAAACCCCCCCCACCCAACTTCAGAGTTTCTTTTTCCCAGTGTGTGTCACCCCCCCATCCTATTGAGTTTCTTCTTCCAGTGATGTGTAACACCCCCCTCCCATACTTCAGAGTTTCTTCTTCCAAAGTGATGTGTAAACCCCCCTCCCATTCAGAGTTTCTTCTTCAGGTGTGTAACCCCCCCCCTCCATACTTAGAGTTTCTTTTCAGGTGTGTAACCCCCCCACCCATACTTCGAGTTTCTTTTTCCCAGTGATGTGTACCCCCCCCATCCATACTTCAGGTTTTTTTTCCCGTGATGTGAAAACACCCCCCCCCCTACTTCGAGTTTCTTCTTCCATTTGATGTTAACCCCCCCCCCATACTTCAGAGTTTTTCTTCCGTGATGTGAAACACCCCCCCCCCATACTTCAGATTTTTCTTTTCCCAGTGATGGTAACACCCCCCTCCATATTCAGGTTTTTTTCTTCCAGTGATGTGTAAACCCCCTCCCATATTTCAGGTTTCTTTTTCCTTTTGATGTGTAACCCCCCTCCCATACTTCGAGTTTGTTTTTCTTCCAGTATGTGTAACATTCCCCTTCTCTTAGAGTACACGCGCTGTGTTCCCACTCAAGAAACAAGGATATATATGTATTTATGTAAACAAAAAGGCTCAGGAACCCACGGGGATGTGAAATACACTTGTGCAACACTTGGGTATCTTTCTGTATTGATGGGAACCCGCTGGTGGTGAAACGTTTCCACAATGAGATAATTGTTTTTTTTTAAAAATTACTTGGTTGTACAGGGAATTTAATAGTTGGGTGTAATCCCAAAAGCCCTTTGTATGCAGAACATTTGGGAAAATTTAAAAGTTAATTTAAAGATTGTAAGGCAATAATACATATTTCTTTGGGTTTTTTTTGTGGTTACAGTAGTACAGAAAATTGGGGGGCAAGTGTTGCACTAGGTCTGTGTCATCAACAAAGGTAGCGTATACTTTTTTTCACCTTTTCTACAGACATCCGTTTAGGTTTAATTTTTACTCCTGGCCTTTAAAGACAATTTTAAATCCTGACCTTTAAAGAAAGTTTCCCTCCGGGCCCTTTTTAAAAGACAATTTTACATCCGGGCCTTTAAAGAAAGTTTACACCTGCCTTTAAAGACAAGTTTCTTCCTGCCCTTTTAAGACAAGTTTACTCCTGCCTTTAAAGACAAGTTTACTCTGCCCTTTTAAAAGAAGTTTACACCTGGCCTTTAAAGAAAATTTTATCCTGCCCTTTAAAAGAAAGTTTCATCCTGCCCTTTTAAAGCAAGTTTAACCCTCCTTTAAAGAAAAGTTTACTCCTGGCTTAAAGACAAGTTTAACCCTGCCCTTTAAAAGAAAGTTTACACCCTGCCCTTTAAAGACAAGTTTACACCCGCCCTTTAAAGAAGTTTAACCCTGACCTTTAAAGACAAGTTTACATCTGGCTTTAAAAGACAATTTTCATCCTGGCCTTTAAAGACAATTTTAAAATCTGCCCTTTAAAAGACAGTTTCATCCTGCCCTTTTAAAAGACAAGTTTACTCCTGCCTTTTAAAGCAAGTTTCTCTGCCCTTTAAAGAAAGTTTACATCCGGCCTTTTTTTTTAAAAATGGGATTATACCTTCTGAAGGAAAAGGAGCGTTGCTTACTTTTTTTTTGGATCAAGACCCCTTCCCAGTATGTATCCCTTCGGATGTATTTTCACTTCTCAGTTTATATGTAGTTTTATAAACATGGTGTTTTATAAACATAACTCTCAGTGTATATACCTGAGAAGCACCTTTGGAGGATTACTAACAAATGTCGTCTCAGTATAAATACACTAAAAATATGCACTTTACAGTATATACACAAAATATACCTTTTTGTGTATATACGTTTTAAACATACCCATTAGTGTTTTTAAAAAACAAGTGTAGAATTCCCAGTATTTGACCTGTACCTTTACATAACAGTATTTTACTGAAATAACCTTGTCGTATATATCCACACTAAGATTTTCATTTCAGGTAAATGCACTGAAATTTTAACCCAAGTACAGACAGTGGGGGATATACCCTCTGGTTATCACTGAAAGTGTACACTTCCGTGTTATTTAACGTCGTATAACAGTAAAGCTCCCCCCCAGATAATTGGTATATATACGCAGCACACCCCTTAAGAGTTGTATAAAATTTTTTGTATAAAAATATATTAACAGTATTGGTAAACACTACAGTAAGATATGTTTTTTTATGGGAGGTAAAGACGTGGTCCCCGTACCAGCCTGAAAACCGGGGGTTCCCCGGGGGATGAGGAAAACTTTTTCACAGACACTCGCGCAAGGATACTATCTGAGATGTTTCGGGTATATTTTGAGGATTTTCTTTTTCTCTTTTTTCTTGGGGCTGGTGGGAAAGATTAATTTCGCTCATGCAGTCGCTGGGTTTTTAAACCCAATTAACCAACACACTGGCGATCACTGTGTATAGGCGCCGCTCTGGTACTGGCGCCCCTCTGTGTAAAGTTCGTGAGACCTTGATAAAGCTTACATAGGCGACACATGTCCATAAAAGAAGGTTCGCTCTCTACCCAGTGTCTTTTATATCTGACTGTCTACCCCTATCCTAAAATTTTTTTAACTCCGAGAATAAAGCTGTAAATTTATATCATTGGATTCATGGAGAGCATTAAAAAAGTGGGGGTCTACGCACCTATACCCACCCCCCCTATGCGACCCCCAAAAGCTTGACTAAACACTTAGTACTTTCTGCTAGGTGAAAAAGGGTTAAAATAAGATTTTTGGATTTTTTTCCCTGGAGGGTTTGCCACCCCCATAACCCAAGAAAGTCAATGCGTATCGAGGGATCTTTTGTTTATTTTTCCCTTTGGGGTCCTCCCAAACTCGCCCCCGGATGCGACCCCACCAGTTTGGGAACAACCCGGTACCTACTCATAGGGGAAAGGGGCAAAAAGGGGTAAGGAAAATTCGAAAAGTTTCCACCCCTCCCTGAATCGAACCCGGACCTCAGTGTGTGAGGCGAGAGCTTTGCCAGCCAGGTCCAAAACCCGTTTTCCCATACGTCTCGCCCTACCCCAAAAACGCGTTTTCCCTATTTACTTAATGTTGTCTTGAGAAAAGTGTGCAGACATCACAGTTTAAATCACCTTTACGAACTGCAGAAAACCTTCCCCATTCCTTCGGTCATGTCATCCCACCTCCGGGACTCAGTTCCTGGCTCACTCCCGTAGCCTTCAAGGCTGAAAAATACTTGTCTTCCCCCGTTTTTTCACGCTCACGGAGACTTCTGAATGTTTATGCTTTTAAACTTAAAAAAATCCTTTTATCCCTTCCCTTTTTTCCACCCCCAAAATTTTTTTCTCTTGGCCATCCTGTTTTGCTCCGTCCCTCTAAATGCCAAAAAACCCCTCAAAACTACCCTCCTAGCCCTCGGAATGTTTTTGGGAACCTCACCCCCTTTAACTGTCAGGTTCGAATTTCTTTCATAAATTTCACACACTGTACCCGAGTGTAAAATCATGCCCCCAGCCCCCTCGTTTCAATGTGTAAAGCCCTGCCCCGTACCATATAAATGTTGGCACCCTTTTTGGTCTTTCCCTTTTTTCTTTTTTTTGGCATTCGTAAATTTATTTATATATGGGGCGTGTAGGATCATACAGGGTGTGGGAATGTAGACTACTAGGGGGTTCGATCCCAAAGGAAAAGGAAGAGTATCTCCATCAAGGTATCCCTTTCCCCCCCAGTTTTCTACATGTGTTCCTGTTACATGCTGGATGGTTACATTAATTACTGGAGAAAAAAAATAATTATATTGTAAAATGCAATGCCGCTGTAAAACCAGAATGGGTAGTGTTTTTAATGTTTCAAAATGCCAAGTTGAAAGAAAAAGAGATCACCTTTTCGAATGTTTTTGGGGGGTTTCCAACCCCCCTGCGACCCCCGCTCTGCTAGACCCCCTGGTTGCGGGATGATCGACCCCGGCTGTGAGGCCCCCATTAAAAGACAATGTGCAAGGATCAAATCTTTACACACGATGCCTTCCTGTAAGTAAAGCGTTATCATTTGACTAATAAAGCTCTACTTCGACGGAAGCGTCGTCTGTAAATGTGAGTTTGTTCTGTCCATAGGCTTTTTTTACGTTGAAATTACAACTCGGTAAGAAAGGTCAGTGTGGGGTTTAACTCTTTCTAGTCAGTTAAAAGTCTTTCCAAACCACTATTGCTAATACATCACATGTGGATCAAACAGTAGCTGTTTCTCACCTGCCATAAATTATAGAGTTGAAAACATACAGACTTAATTATGTTCATGGGAGGAAGCACCAGAAAGACAGGATGGGGAGTCATAGCCTCTTGGAAATCAGAGATAAAGAGGTGTGATCCTTGGAAAGAGGGTTATTTACCTCAAATTCCTCGGAGGAAGAGCCTTTCACTGGCATCAAGGTATCTTCCCACGAGGGGGGAAATATAAAATTAATAAAAACCGAGAGAAATATCTGGTAACTGAGGTGTGGAGGTGGAGATCAGCTGTGTTTACGTTGGT